ATGTTTTTTAAATCCTGGTTTGTAGAAAGTTCTGGACATGAAAAAAGCATTCACCAGTTGACCACTACCCAAATCAACCTAAGAGGGCAACTTAAAAAGACTACATGTATTTTGGAAAGTACACTTGGTTCCAGTTCTAAATAGATTTTCACCAGTTTGCACCAGCTGCTGCTTAGAGAATCAGCTCTGCTAACGCGCCCTACTGGTGATGCCAAGGGTTTATATACTATGCTATGAATGGTATTTCCCCATCTGCCCAAATAACACAATTTGGCATTTGGCCAAGATAATTCTCAAATTAGTATCAAAATTCCCACAAATGCACCCTTAATATCATTTTACGTGAAGAGCAATTACAAATCTAAACACCTTAGTGAACAATGAAAGTGGCCTAAACCATATTCTTCAGTATACTGCCCCCATAATCATCCTACCCTGAGAGTCTTCCCCTTCCAGACTGATCTTTTTTATTTTTTCCCACTAGGTAAAAGAAGCCATTCTCTGCCTCATTTCTTACCTAGGCTTAATCACTGAATGAACATTGCCTCAGCCAAACAGAGATCTGTTAAAGATCTTAAATTAAAAAAGGTCAACGTCTCCCATTGCATCCAGGGCCCATCTGCAGTCATCTTGATCTGTATCTTGCCACTGGGCCCACATGGCCTTGGCGGAGAAAGTGAGGCTGGTGACTTTGCACAGCCCTCCCTCACTTAAATCCAATTCACTTGCATGTCATGGCATCACCTCCCTGAAGTTATGGTCCTCTTTGAGAACAAAGGATGAACAACAAACAATAACAACAACAATGAACCAGACACTGTGCTGGGGCTAGGGATACAAAGACTAAAATGAAACATTCCCTGTCCTGTAAAAGCTTATATTTTACTGCTGAGACAACACATTACATATGTAAAATGTGCAAAAAAATAAATATGCTAGTTTTGAGAGAGAGGACACTCATAGCTGAGGGTGTCCAGAAAAGTTAGTGATACTTGAATTAGTCTTAAAGGTAACAAAACTTAGCAAAGTGCTAAAGCACAAAAAGGATACTGAATAAATTATTGTAAACTACAAGTATGATAGGAGTCAGGGTAAGCTGGCTTAGGATTAGTTACAGAGAGGTAGCAGAGTTGAACTAAATTACTGAATTAACATTATTTTGCATTTTATGATAGCTGTTATTAATTTAATTCACATCTATTTGCTTAGTTCAAAATTGATCAGAAAAATGATTCAGATCTTTTGGCCCTGGAGTTCGGTAATAGAGTTGAAATACATCTAAGAAAAGAAATGTGCTGTAATTAAGATTTCACTAAAGTGAGTAGCCTGACAAAGAAATGAAAATATCTCCTTAGAAATAAAAGAGTAATTATTAGAATCACTGACTCACTGATACTGGCTTCAGGTCAGGGATTTACTTCTATGTTAAAGCTAGACTCTTTAAAAGCTCCTGGCTAAATCCAGGAATTATTAATGCTTTTAATTAGAGAACATGCAAAAATTGAAAAGAAAAAAACTCCTCCACGTTAAAAACTGTGTTCAAAAATCCAAAACAAATGTAATGAAATATTGTAGCCCTAAGGAGTCACTGCTTTCTATCTCATATGATTTCCTCCCATATATCAACCTAAGTTCTATTTTCATCAACTCTATAAATAACATAAATATTTTCCTTTTACATTCCTATGATTTCAATACAAACTTTAAAATATGGATTGACATCATAATACTAAATTACATGTAGAACAAAGGTCACTAATGTAATGACCTAGAAGGCTGAACCCAGGGGCATAACCAATACAAAACAAATACGGGCAATGACACTATCAATATGATGGCAATATTGGGTATCATACTGACTCTCTCACTGAGATCTAAGAGTCTGAAAGAATATCTTGTAAGATCCATGCCATGCAATTCTGTAATATAATAATATGATGAGGAAGAGGACGAATTAAAATGTAGCATTCCATTTAGAAATACAACCCCCTGAAGTATATGTTTAAAGTTCTATCACTCACTTTTAAACATAATTATTTGTGATAGTTTCATTATACACATATATTTATTTATATTTACTATATTCTATATTTATTACATTTGTTTATATTTATTATATAAAACTATATATATTATATAAAACTATATGTATTATATAAAACCAAAGCCTGTCATAGTGCAAGAAAAATACACGAAATTTACTAAGAAATAGTAGAAACAGAAGGCAAATTCTCAATTTCCTATCTGTAAAATTAAGGAGTTAGATTCTACTTCTACTAAAAACAAATCTACCTCTAAATCTATGATCCTACAATCTTATGCTTGATAAACTGACCAGACAGAAACCCCAAGATTCTGTCACCAAGGAATGTGTTGGTTAAACTTCTGAAATTTAATGTCAAACAACAAATACTGAAGGTAGTCAAAAGAAAGGCCTTTAATTATCAATAAAAATCAATCTGAATAACCCAGGACTACTAATTATCTATGAGAATTCAGATAAAAGTTGGAATTATGCCCCTCCTAAAAAGGACTAAGAGCTGTTTCACCCCATACCTATCCCCAACCCCAGGCAGTATAATATATCCTCCAATGCTGATCACTGAAATAAACCAATTTTAAACAAGACATTTGAGTTATTCCTTCCAAAAAAAGCAGAGGTTAAGGAGTCTATTCAACATGCAAACACATGCAATAGGGGTAACACAAGAAAGTACAGTTAACAAAAAAAAAAGACTGAATATATAAATCAACTCATTATTTATTAGATAGGGTCTAGATAGGGTTAAGAAAGTTGATTCATTGAGGACCCCACTCTATTCCAATCAGTATCAATCAATTTGACATGATTCTATAGAAGTAGTGATTATAAGTTCTGTATATTTGGCCCCAGAACTGTGAGCTACAGGTTTTAAGTTCACTTGCTTAATCATAGGGAACTAACTAGGGGACTTCCATACTTGTTTTCCCTTGTCACGGTGACCAAGCCCAGTGTGGCAGAGGTGACTCAACTACACGGAAAGTCCTCCAATTTATTTTTGTATCTCCAGACCATTCTCTCTTGTCCAACACAAGCAGGTGACCATCTTATGACCACTTAGTCAGTGGAGATGCCCCCTACTTCACCCAACCTTGGCCCTCAAGAGCAAGGTCTATCAACCAATGAGATTCTATATCTCACCATGCCTCTTTTGTATATTTGGGTATCAAACTCTGTAAATACAAGGTCCTGGAAGAAGGAAGAATCTCAGATCATGATGAAGATCTGAGGTCCACTTCATTAGAGGGGACCACAGACCCTTTAAAAAAGTGCCATTGGCTCAGAGCTTTGCTTCAGTCTCTTTTATTATAGGATGGACAATGCTAATCCCACAGGTTGTTGTTTAAAAAGTAATTCTTAGATTGTTGAAGACCAAAAAGAAAATAAGGAGGTTATGTGAAACAAACTAAAGTGAGGAGCTAAAGATTAAAGAGACAGTTAAAGGAAATCAGGAAACAAGAAAGAGAATTAAATTAATATTCCATGTAGTAAAACCCAGTTGTCCTCTTAAATGACTCTGTGTGTATAGAGAGGTGTGTGCGCGTGTGTGTGTATCTAGGTGTGTTTTAACTGGGGGAAGAGGCAAAAGGGAGTATATAGTGGGAAGTCACTAGGGTGGGGAGAGGAGAAGCCAGAGATGGAGAAGCCTTAAACAGATGCATTCACAGCTAAGCTGGGTTACAGGAGAGAAGAGGAAATCTCTTTATATCTGCTATTAGTCTATAAGATTTGGGAAATGAGAGAGTAAGTGGTAGAAGAATGAAGAGACTGGTCTCATCCTTCATGGGGAATGCTAAAGTGAGCACACATGAATAAGAAGGAACAACAGGTTTCATTCATGGGGCCTGGGCAGTTAGGGAGTGATTTTTCTCTGAATAAGGTATATGTTTCTCAGAACCACATCCTACCCCACCCAGTGAAAAGGTAAGAAGAAAGTAAGACTTTAGGATGGGCAAATGATTGAATGCAAAGACATGGAGTAGGGTTGGGACTAACTTGGAAAACAGAGAAACTTCTACCACACCACACTACTTCTGTCAAAAATTAATATTTCTGGAAATGAAGCTAAGGGGAAGCCTCAAAAAAATTAAACAAGCAAGAAAGGCAGAAGGAACAGTGAGTAAGATCTAGCACCATTTTGATGAATAAACCCAGAAGGGAGAGAAGCTTTGTCTTCCAGAAGCCCTACTTCGTATGAAGTACATAGACAGAATGAAGAACACATAAATGTATATGCCATAAATGGGAGACTCTCTTTCAGAACTGACTAGCAGAGTAAAGAAATAAAGGAGAGTGAATAAATTAACAAGTCTTATGAAAAGAAACTATAAATGCATGCAACTCAAGTGAGAAGTACAGGCTGGGCAGGTTGGAGCAGATGGGTGAATTCTAAATGGTACTCTTCTGGGCTGGGAGGATGGGGTAAAAAGAAAAAAAAACTAAATGAACAAAAAGGAAGAAAGTAAGGGAAGTGGGTGAGGAAATAAAAGAAATTCAAGAAATTGAGGATTGGGCAAGGAAAGAGGAGTAGGGAATTAGCCTGTAGAAGAGACTGGGATAAAATTAGTCAAAATAACTAACCTCAGAGACTGAGTGCTGACTTAAAAAGGGTGTCAAGGTGGGTATGATTCAATACAAATGAATTAAATGGGTGAAAATACACAACTAGCAACTGCAACCCTGAATGTGAACAGAGTAAACTTACCAACAAAGTGAGGGGGCAGAGGAGAGGCAGAGAAAGGACAAGAAAACAAAACCTCAATCTTTTTTTGCACACACAAAACACAGTAAAACATATTTTTAAAAAGACAAACAGAATAAACATGAAGTTACAACATAGCAAATAAAAACAAAGACATTTTAGTCTTCCATTTGTAAACTACAATAATTTTTTAAAATTCTTTCAATTTTTTTAAGTCATATAAATAAGAGAAAACATTTTTTAAAAAAGAACACTTACCATCCACTCTGATATGATAACATCTACTTTTTCAACAGGTAGATCAACTTCTTCAATTCTTCCTTTGACTAGAGTAATGGTACCTTCAAGTTTATTTAGCCTATAAATGATAACTTACTATTAATGACTGAAAAAATGTTAAATACATTTATGAAATTTCAAAAGACATAATAACTTTATTTAGCTTGTTTCGTTGAACTAACACTTGACATAATATGAGATAAATACAATAATCAGCCAAGGAACAGAATTATATCTAGGATATATTTAGTAATGAAGTTACAACTGGTTATTTTCTGAGCCTATGTATAGATATACTGTAATGTAAAACTGCGTTTTTTAAAGCTTAACATTTCTTTGACTGGATTAAGTTATATAACAAATGACAGCTTGAATTTATATGTCCCTTCAAGATTTAGAGAGCACTTCACATATGTGGAAAGAGAGAGGTATCATGACACAGTAGTGAGAGAATTAAACTGGACTTTGACTCAGAAGACCTAAGTTCAAGTCCTGGCTCCAACATTTACTAACTTCATAATCATTTACTTCACTAAGCCCCAGGCTGTATCTGTATCATAGAATTTCGGAATTGTAAGGAATCTTACAGTTCTAGTCCAACTGGCACCTCAAATAAGCTTCCACTCTTTAATATCTGATCAGCCACAGCTGTACACACTAAAACTTGACTCTGGCACGGTGATGTCATTTTGATCCTCTTCGAAAACAAACGACAACAACACATTCCCGCCTTAAATTGAAGGCAAAGCCGCTGACAGGATGGAGTAGTGAAAACTAAGCTTAGTTTGGAGCCAGAAGCCTTGGATTCGAATCTCAGCTCCGCCATTTATCACCTGTTGGACTCTGAACAAATCATTTAGCTTCGCCAGGCCCATTTCCTCTCCCGAAAAATGAAGAAAATGGGCTAAATGTCCACTGTGTTCCTTTTATTCTAAATGTCAGTCTTCCTACAGAAGCCATTTAACTTTTGTACAACTCTATTAGAAAATTCTTCCTTCCATTGTAGGTTGTTTTCTCTACAGCCTAGGTCAGCCCTTCTGCAACTTCGACTCTTTGCTCCTAACTTTTCAGGCTTGTTGTTGTTGTTCAGCTGTTCAATCATGTCTGATTCTTCGTGATCCCATCAACCACAGCATGCCAAGCCCTTCTATGCTCCACTATCTCCAGAATTCTGTCCAAGCTCATATTTGTTCCTTCCGTGACACTATCCATCTCATCCTCTGCTGTCTCCTTTTTCCTTTTTTCTTCAATTTCCCCAAAAGCTTTTCCAATGAGTTCCATATTCTCATTATGCAAAATATTTAAGTTTCAGCTTCAGTATTTGACTTTGCAGTGAACAGTCTGAGTTAATGTCTTTTAATACTGACTATTTTGATCTCCTTGTTGTCTAAAGGACTCTCAAAAGTTTTCTCTACCACCACAATTTCAAAGTGTTGATTCCGTAGCATTCAGCTTTCCTTACAGTCCAACTCTCACAGCCATACATTGCTACTGGAAAAACCACAGCTTTGATTACATGGACTTTTTTTCAGCAAAGTAATGTTTCTGCTTTTTTAATGTGCTGTGCAGATTTGCCACAGCTTTCCTTCCAAGGAGCAAGTGCCTTTTAATTTCATAGCTGCAGTTGCTGTCTGCAATGATCTTTGAGTCCAAGGTTATAAAATCTGACATTGCTTCCAAAGTTGCCAAGATTTTAGTTTGTTTGTTTATGTTAAGCTTGAAGCCAGCTTTTACACTTTGGAAGCTATAACAAATTTAACCCTTCTTAAACATGAAACCCTTTCAACTATGTGAAGAACTCTTCTCCGGGACAAATATTTCCATTTTTTTTTTCAACCAAATATGGCTTGGTCTCCAATCTCCTTCTATTTTGGTAAATCTGTCCTGATGTACTCCATCTTGTCAATGTTATTTCTAAAATGTAGCACTAATAATAGACCACAAGACTGTAAATGTGTAAAGAATACAGACTACTCGCTACCACAGGATTCAACTTTCTGTAGCCCTGCCCTCTCACCTGAGTTCCAGTGTTCCATTTCTAAAAGTTGTAGTTTGAGGTGACACCAGGACACATAAGCAGAAATGTCTAGTAGGACAAGGAAGATAACTGACTTTATGGATCTCAGCATATGAGAGGACTAAAAACTAAACATCATGAAAAGAATACTGGTCTGGAAGACAAAAGATCTGGATCCCAGTTCTGGATACACCAGTAACAAATCTATGGAAAATAAATCTTTGAGTCTCTCTTTACTTATGCAAAACAGTAGTACTATATACACATTGTGACTCCAAGTCCAGTGGTTCTTTCTAAACAAGAAGTGGTATGGTAGGCACTGACAAGAATTTAAAGACTTGTAGTCAGGAGGGAGTTAATGTTTCTTTAACTTGATTAATGTACATAATAACTAAAATTCATACTATATAAAATAAAAAATGAAAACAGTGAATTCACAACCAATGAAGGGAGAAAAAAGAAACTACTAGGAACTATTTCATCCAATTATATACCAATAAGAGTAACAATCCAAATGAAATGAATTAGTATTCACAAAAACATAAAACGCTCAGATTAAAAGAACAAGAAATAAAGGACTCAACACAATCTCAGAAAAAGAAATTGAACAAACCATAAATAAACTCCAAAAAAGGGGGGAAAAAACCCATCAGATAAATTTTTAAGTGAATTCCAACAAACACTTAGAGAAAAATGATCAATATTGTCTGAACTGTTTGAAAAAATAGGAAAAGGGGGCAGCTAGGTAGCGCAGTGGATAGAGCACCAGTCCTGGAGTCAGGAGGACTGGAGTTCAAATCTGCCCTCAGACACATAACACTCCCTAGCTATGTGACACTGGGCAAGTCACTTAACACCAATTGCCTCATACAAAAAAAAAAAAGAAAAGAAAAGAAAAAGAAAAAATGGGAAAAGAAGGGGCCCTATCAAATTCCTTCTGTGACACAAATATGGTCTCAATATTTGGCAAAGTAGACAAAGAAAGATAACTATAGACCAATATCCCTAAGGAATACTTATGTAAACAAATTAAATAAAACACTAACAAAGAGATTACAGCAACATGTAACAAAGATTATACACTATGACTAGGTTGAATTTATACCAGGAAGAGAGAGTTGATTCAATATTAGAAAGAATATAAATATAACTGACCATATTAACAACAAGAACAACAAAAATATTATGATTATATAGATGCCAAAAAAGTTTTTGATAAGATATTAACCACCCGATTCCTGTTAAATATGCTAGAAAGTATAGGAATAAATGGATATTTCCTTAATATGATAAGTAACGTATCTTTAATGGAGAGAAAGGGAAAAACTAGATACCTATCCAATAAAAAGATAAGGAGTAAACCAAGGATGTTTACTACAACTACTATTACTCAATATAGGGCTAGAAATGCTTGGTGTAGCAATAAGACAAGAACAAGAAGTTGAGGAAATAAGATAAGACAAAATTATTACTTTTTGCAAAGGCTGTGATGGTTCACTAGGGGAATTGTAGAACCTACTAAAAAACTAACTGAAATGATTAATAACTTCAACAAAGTTGTAAGATATAAAATAAACACACAAACCATTAGCATTTTTGTATATTATTAATAACATCAAGCAGGAAAAGATAAAAAGAGAAATTCCATTTAAAATAATTAAAATTAGAAGAGAAGCAGGTAAATGGGGGGGGGAATCTTTGTAGCAAGTTTCTCTGATAAAGGTCTTACTTTTAAAATCCATAGGGAACTGACTCAAATTTATAAAATTAAAATCCATTCTTCAATTGATAAACCACCAAAGGTTATGAACAGAAAGTTTTCTAAGAAAGAAATCCAAGCTATCAATAGCTATATTTAAAAAATTATCTAAATCACTAATAATTAGTGAAGTGCAAATTAAAAAAACACTGAGGTTCCAGCTCACACCCATCAGGCTGGCAAAGTGGACAAAAAAGAAAAGTGACAAAAGTTGGAAGGGCTACGAGAAAACAAGAACATCAATGCACTGTTGTTAAAGTTGTTTACTGGTCTAAGCATTGTGGAAATCAATTAAAGCTATTAAACGATGCATATACTTTGACATAGCAATACCACTACAAAATACATACTCCAAAGAAAGGAGTGGTATGGCAGCTCTGGTATGAGGGACCGTCAAGCCTTTTTTAGGGCTGCTCATCTACCTTTGGTGTCCATCTTCACCCAACTGTCACCTATGACTCCAAGAAGCTGTAGTAGGTGCAGAAGCCACACCCCGGTAAACCATCTGGGTAGATGAGCTAAACCAGGTGGAGGGTGGACAACAGGCCACAAACCCACTGGTGAGTTAGGGGAGTGTCTACCAAAAGCATATGAAGAATGAGAACAATTGTTCCAATAGTCATGAAGCAGGTTCTGTGGAGCTCGTGGTCATTCACTGACTCCCAGGTCATCAGCAGTCATCCCGACTTGTCCTGACACTGGACGTCAATCATTGTGGAAGAGATTGTGAGGCTGATGACTTTGGGCAACTCCACTTAAATCCAATTCACCCACAAGTCAAGATATCACCCTGTGATGTCACTGGTCCTCTTCAGAAATGAAGGACAAACAATAACAAAAATGCCAAAGGGATCAAAGAAAGAGGGAAAGGACCCATAGGTACAAAAATATTTTTAGCAGTACTTTTGTGTGATGGCAAAGAATTGGAAACTGAAGGAGTATCCATCAATTGGGGGAATGGCTAAACAAGTTATGGTATATGAATGTGATGGAATACTATTGTGTTGTAAGAAATGATGAGAAATCCGTGAAAAATAAACAATTATAAGAAATCTACTGGAGATATATCAATATGACTTGGCAACTGATTGGATGTAGTAGGGGCATAGAAGTAAAGAAGTAAGAGTCAAGGATGGTTTTGAGACTGTAAACCTAGGTTCTATGTCAGTATCTCCAAAAGAAATCTAAAAAAAACATTTAGAGGAGGGGAAAGTTTATGAGGATGATAACAACTTCTGTTTTGGACAAAATGAGTTTGAGAGGCTTAAAGGATATGCAGAGGTCCAGCAGATAGTTAATGATA